CGACCAAAATGAAGTACCTTCTTCCAAGGAGAGACTTTTAAAAATACATTATCTCCTTTTTGGAATTCAATTTCCTTTCTTTTTAAATCCGCATAGGACTTCTGTCTATCAACAACTATCTTAAGATTATCTTGAATAATCTTCACTTTGTCTTCGACTTATTTGATCAGCTCTAGCCCTACTAAGTCTCAATCTTTCAATTCAAACCAATTCAATAGTGTTCGACATTTTCTTTCATATAAAGCTTCATAAGACGCCATCTTGATAATCGATTAATAACTATTATTATAAGCAAACTCTGCAAGCGACAGACACTTTTCCCACGATCCATGGAAATCAATAACACATGCTCCATGTAAAGTCTTTCAGAACCTCGAAGTAAACCTTGGATCTCTATTAGATACTATTGAAAATGGCACTCCATGAAGTCAAACTATCTCCTTGATGTATAATTTTGCATACTTATCCATTGAAAAATCAGTTCGAACAGGAATAAAATGTGCGGTCTTTGTTAACCGATCTACAATAACCCAAACTGAATCTTTTTTGTTCGGTTTCAAAGGTAACCCAATTACGAAATCTTTTTTGTTTGGAATAGAGACCGGTTGCAGTAGTCCTGAAGGTATTTGATGTTCAGCTTTCACTTATTGGTAGGTTAGACACTTTGAAACAAACTCTGTAATGGCTCTTATCATGCATGGCCACCAATATCTTCCTTTTAAGTCTTGGTACATCTTATTCCATCCTGGATGCATAGTCAGCGAACTACAATGCCCTTCAGAAAGAATGTCTCTCTTCAACTCTTCATCATTTGGAATACAAACTCTGTCTCTGTAGTATAAGCATCCATTTGACCAATAACAATGTTATTGGTAATATAATCCATCCTCAAATCTAATATAAAACAAATGATTTACACTCACCTTTGCCTCGCGTAAGTCTTAAATTAAGTCATTTTTATTTTCGATCAATCTCGTACTATGTTGATTCCTTCGATACATTTTCATTCCAAATATACACATAGATATGTCCAATATCAATACCAACTTTCCATTAACATATAACCAATTAGTAGTTACACAAATGAAATGAAACTCCCAATTTAAAATTCAGACTGAATAGTATCGGTACCACTCCTACAGTACCGATACTTCTACTCTATGGTACCGATACCCACTTCAGTATCGATACCAATTTGGCATTATGGAATTTCACCCTAAATAATAGTATCGATACCTTACTCTTGGTATCGATAACCTTACTTCAGTATCGATACTAATTCAATCAGTATCAATATTGTTCATCATTTTCAACATATTTCCTTTAATTTAACATTATAATATCGGTATTGTTCTTCCAGTACCGATACCCTTGCCCAGATTTCATTTATTTCACTTTGAATTTTACCCAAAATTCACTTATATCTCTTACTCTTAGATCCATTCAACCCCTCAAACTCATTAACACTTATCCTAATTAACTTATATCCAATAATCCACTTTTAACATCCAAATTTCTCTATGGAATTCTTAAAACTAAAAATCATACCATACATTCAAACATGTTCTCAATCATTTCTAACACTTCAAATCCCTTAGTTAGATCTTTGAAAAGTCAATTATGCCTTTAGAATCCAATTACTAACCAAATTTCATCATTTCACTTAAAAACCCATTTCACTAATTCACTAAGAATTCTTTAATCACTTAGTTTTTCTTCATCTTTAAGCTTCCTTAATCTTATATACCACTTAAAGATTCAAAAAACCCACAAATGAAAAGAATAACCAACTTGAAACATATCTCACCTTATCAATGGAGTCATGGGAAGAGAAGAAGAATAAGAAGAAGAAGAAAAGTGAACCAAGCTTCCATATACTTCCCCTTTTCTAATCTTCACAGTTCACATGCTTAAAATACCATTTAAAATGAAATTTAAATTCATTTCTTGCAAAAAGACCTCTTTGTCCTTCTATTCTTCCATCTTTGCTAATAAGTCCTAAACATAAATTCCAAAATCAGTCATTGAACTATTCAATTTATTCCAATTAAACCACTAAGTTTTAAATTCTTATATTTTAGTCACTGGCCCGATGTTTGGGGTATTACAATTGCATATTGGTTTTTAAACTAGGATGCTATAAGTTCTTCCATGATGATAGATAACAAAATTTTCAATTTAGCCTCATGTATCTTGCGAAAAATTAGTATGTTCATATTGCAAGTGTTTTTTTCTTATTGGCAATTTTAATTTTATCTAATCTTGCTAGAAAATTCGATGTCATTTTTTGTTGACATTTTAAGTTTTCCATTCACATTATGTAAGGAGTTTTTGACAAATGAAATTAGTAAAAATAAAAGTAAAATATAAGTTACTTTTGATTTCAACTTCTTTCTGTACTGCCCTTCAAGCTTGGATGTATATATTATACAAACACAACTTCGGTTTGAATTTATCAAAGTTGGTTCTTGGGAACTTTGGTGAGTATATCAACAAGTTGTAGTTGAGTGGGAATGTAACTTAATTGGACTATTCCATTGTTGACTTTCTCTGAAATAAAATGTTTGTCAATCCTTATTTGCTTGGTTCTGTATTACTATACTAGATCTACAACAATACTTATAAGAGGATTGACTGTCACTTTGCATTTTGATCTGACTCTTTAATAATCTCTGAATCCATAATCTTTCAAAGATTCCTAGAGCAAGCGCTGGGAATTTTGCATATGCACTACTTCTTGAAACCATAAATTGTTTTTTTTCTTTTCTATGTAACAAGATTTCCCCAAACGAAGGAACAATAACAACTTGTTAATCTCCTCAATTAATTTTCCAGCCCAACTTGCATTAGTGTACACTTTTATCTCAAGGCTTTCACCATTTTTAAAGAGAAAATCGTGATTTGGTGTCATCTTTAGGTATCTAAGGATTCAATTTACAACCTCTAAGTATTCTTCAGGTGGATCATTCATATATTTGCTAACAATGTGCATTGATAATCCAATGTTTGATCTTGTGTGTGGTAGATTAACTTGTTTACTAGCCTTTAATACTGTCTTTTATCAACTGGTACCCCGCTTCATTTTTCCTTAACTTTAGGTTGGGATCTATAGGTGTTTCTATTGGTTTACATCCAAACCCCTCTTTATTTTCCTTGACTTTAGGTAAGGATTCATAGGTGTTTCTATTGGTTTACATGCAAGCATATCGATCTCAATAAATCTAAGATATACTTTCTTAAAGTTATTATTTTTCCTATATTAGATCAAGTAACTCCATCCCTATAAATTATTTGGGAGCATCAAGGTCCTTAATTTCAAACTTAGCAACAAGTAGTCTTTTCAGTTTGATAAATTCTTATGAGTCATCCCTAGTTATAATGACATCATTAACATAAACAATCAGGTTGGTGTTTTTACCTTTTGATGAGGTTTCCAAAAATAAGGTGTGATATACTTTGCACTGACTATATTTATATATGAACATTACTTTGGCAAACCTATCAAACCAGGCACGAGGTGACTGTTTTAGATCATACAATGACTTCTTTAGTTTGCACACTTGATAGCTATTTGAAGGGTTTTTTAGGTCTGGAGGTATCTCTCTAAACATCTTTTTCAAGGTCTCGTTCAAAAAGGCATTCTTGATGTGGAGTTCATATAGAGGCCAATTTTTATTTATCGTTAGTGATTATAGTACTCGAAATGTATTCAACTTGGCAGCGGGTGCAAATGTTTCTTGATAATTAATTCCATATGATTGAGTAAAGCCCTTTGCCACCATCCTAACTTTTAACTTCTAGAAACTCCCATATGTTTTAAACTTCATTGTGAACATACATTTGCAAGTTGTTGGCTTATTTCCTTGTGGTAACTTTGCAAGGATCCATGTTCCATTGCTGTCCAAGGCTTTGATTTTTTTTCGAGAACCCTTTTTTATGCTAGAATCTTTAAAGCTTCTTGAATTGATTTTGGATTTTGTATGCTATCAAGAGATGACTTGAACGCTTTCTATGACAATAACTTCTCCTAGGCCACATGTCTCTCAATAGGATAGTTGATGCATGTTCAAACACCCTTTCTCTGAGTAACAGACAAATCTAAATTATCAGTAATACTAATAAGAGGCTCACTAGGTGGAGATTCCATTTGAGACTTCAGTGGTGTGTTGTATCGAGTTGGAGATGGTAACTTTTTTGGATTGACACTTTGGGTAGGAATGTGCACAAATTGAGTGTTATGAAGGTTGTCCCAAAGCTGAAATTCTCTTGAGTTCTCCCCTACATTCTAGATATGAAAAAAATATAGTTGGTGTTTAAAATGGTTACATCAATGGAGTTTTACATTTTCCTAGTAATAGGTGAGTAACACTTGTACCCTTTTTAATTAGAATACATTAGAGAAACACATTATGTTGGCTTGGGATCAAGGTTGGTTCAGTGTTGGTGTATGTGAACAAAGGTAGAATAACCAAAGACTTTAAGTGGAAGATTGAAAGACAAAGATCTAGCATGTTGTAAGACTTGTAGTTGGACTTCATGAGGTCTTTGAAATTTTAGCACTCCACTAGGCTTCCCCCAAAAGTGTTTAGGTAAAAGATTAATGAACATGAGTGATGTAACTACCTTCAGTAAGTGTTCACTTTTCCTTTTGGCTATCCCATTTTGCTTAGGTGTGTTAGCACAAGAACTCACATGTATAACCCCTCTTGCTATGAAATAAGAGCCCAAAGTTGATGTAAAATAGTCACTACCATTATCTATTTTGAGAATATGAATTTTTCTCTTAAATTTAATATGAATCATTGAATAAAAGGACTTTAATATTTCGTTTGTTTCAGATTTTTCTTTTATAAGGAATGTTCAAATGGTTCTAGTGTGATAATCTATAAAAGAAATGGACTAACAAGCTCATTTAATACTGTTCACACGTGAAGGTCCCAAATGCCACTATTAATCATAGAGAATGGATGTGAAGTTCAGTATTGGATACTAGGATAGACATGTCAAGTGTGTTTTGCAAGTTGACAAATTATGGAAGACATGGAATCTTTATTGATGAACAAATGAGGATGCAACTTTTCAAGTTAAACGAAATTAGAGCGACCAAGGCAAAAGTGTCAGAATTTGACTTGATTTGAAACAAAAGCATAATTAAAAGAGGACTTAGGAATTGAAAAGACCACAACACATCTCAACACTGTCAATCACCTTTCCCGAATCTGCTGCATGAAATTCAAAAAGGTTTGATTGTAATTGTCACAGTTCAAATCACGGGTGAGTTTGTTAATAGATAGATATTAGATTACAATTTTATTTTGGAACATAAATGACATATGAGAGGTCCTTTTTAATTTAATTGATTTGATTCCATCTGTTATTTGAACCATATCGGCTTGATTATGGGTTGGACTAACCTTTATTACTAGAGGTAATCAAACATTTTCTGATCCAAACGTTTTATGATATTGCACTAGAAAATAATACCCGCCTTGCAAGTTGTATGATTGTTTATAAAGTTCAAAATTTTCATCTTAATACTTTTAGAGAAATATTGTCTTGAGTTTTAGTAGGGTCAATCATCGCAACACAACTCAATTACTTGTTTAATTGAGCTATTCTTCTTTTCTCCTTGTTTGGTTTGTGATACTTTTTCTGTTATTTATTTGAGACTTAGATACTTGTATAATTCTTGAGTAGATAGTCTTAATTTTGCATTTTTTTTGTTTAGCTTGTAAAATTCCCATTTGATGTTAGCTTTGGAAACTATGTGTACAATTGGGTAATCCTAGTGAGAATCAAAAGATACTTTAAGTAGAAAGGTTTTACTTTTTTGACCATTGAATTTTTAAAAAAATGTTATTCTTAAGCCATTAAACTTTTATATAACTGTAATTGTTTTCAGTTTGGATGTGTTAATCTTGTTAATATTGATGTGAAAGGATTCTTCATAATTGTGTTTTCTATCAGATCAAGGAAATTGGTCGGAAGAACAGGGAACTTCGTCATGCCTTGGAATATGTTGATTTTCCTCATGAAAGTAAGTTCTCTCTATCTAGCTAAGCTATTGTTTTGAATATGATAAAAAAACTATTTTTTAAAATTCCACTTAATATAATTTTCATAAGAGGACAAAACTAGAAGTTGGGAGAAAATAATTGTGTTGTGACCCAGGTATTCAAATAGCAGAATGCAACCGCAGTAGCAGCAGCTATTTCGTGGCAGCGTCACCGTTTGAAACTGATATTCGAGAAAATCACAGTGGGTAGTGGAATCACGATGATAACAGTCCGTCGAAGCCGCAATTTAGCGTTTAATGGTAAATTGCGTCGATAACGAGACGCTATCCTTGTTATGCAAAAGTCTTAAAAAAAAGAACAAGCAGAAACAGGGGAGGCCAAAGAGAAGAGATGTGCTCAATCGACCAAACTTCAGCCGTGGGAAAATAAGCGATTAAAGAGAGTAGGCCAAAGAGGAAACAGGGGAGGAGATGAGGAGTCAAAAATCGGAGAAAAATGAAATCCCTACCTGAGAAGAGTAAGAAACCCGAGAAGTGAGAAGAGAAAAAAAGCCGTTCCACTCTTACTCAGTTACTACCATTTTCTATTCTTTTTAATTAGGGTAAACTACAATAAATCATCACCACTATAGCAGAATTGTTCTACCGCGGCGTTTTAAGAGTAAACGCCACTAACTTTAAACATATAGCGGCGTTTACATTCCAAACGCCATAAAATAGTAACTTTAGCGGTGTTTTTATACAAAACGTCACGACATAGTAGTACTTTAGCGGCATTTTTATAAAAACACCGCTATAGACTCGTATTTTAGTGGCGTTTTGGTACAAACGCCGCTATATACTCGTATTTTAGTGGCGTTTTTGTTTTTAAAGGCCGCTATAGACTCATACGTTAGTGGCATTTTTATACAAATGTCGCTAAAGACTCGTGTTTTAGTGGCGTTTTTATATAAACGCCGCTAAAAGCTCATAATTTAGTGGCGTTTTTATATAAACGCCACGTAGACTCTTATTTTAGTGGCGTTTCTATATAAATGCCGTAAAAGACTCGTACTTTAGTGGCGTTTTTATACAAACGCCGCTAAAAACTCGTGTTTTAGTAGCGTTTTTATATAAACGCCTCTAAAGACTGATGTTTTAGTAGCGTTTTTATATAAACGCAACTAAAGACTCATATTTTAGTGGCGTTTTTATATAAACGCAACTGTAGACTCTTGTTTTAGTGGCATTTTTAAAAATGCCGCTAAAGACTCGTGTTTCAGTGGCATTTTTATGCAAACGCCACATGTTTACAATTTTTTTAAATCCCACCGGCCTTTAACCCTTTTTCACTTTTCCTACTTCACATATTTTTTATTCCCGCCGAAGTTAAACATAAATCCCTAAACAAAGCATCTTTCTCCCTCGTCTCTATCCAATGAGAGGGAAATAATATTAGGGTTTTAGAAAAAACAGAGAGAAATAGGCAATTATTTAGGTTAGGGTTTTGATTTTTCATCGTTTGGCTATAAGAAAGAAAACAAAATGGTGGTAGACAAAGGAAAGAAGATGAAAGTAGCAGAGAATGGAGAAGAAGAGAAATCTGAACAAATTGAAGGAGACCTCATTCTCTCCCCCCTCCTCTTATTTCTTTGAAAAACTTATTTCTTATGTTTCCTGTACCCATTTGTTCTAGGATGTTTGCTAGGGTGATGGCACCAACTGTGTTTTTAGTGTTACTATGCTTACTGTTCGGGATCTGGTTATTTCAGACTTTGGATTTGATAGTTTACCTATTTGATTGTTCTCTATTGTATTATCTTTTCCATCATGTTGTCGGGTTTATGAAATTGTAATTTCATTTGCAGTAATGTTATATGACAATATTGTTAATAAAGAAAGGTAGTGCCTGTTAGCCCTCAATTATCTTGCTAAACTAGATGGTTTCCTTCTGGTTTGTGTGTAAGAATTAAATTTTACATGCAGCTAAAAAGGATCCAACAAAAAGCCCTGGCTGGGAACGGTTCGAGTTCGACAAAGATGCCCCACTTGATGATGAGGAAGTTGAAGGTTAAACATCTATCCATATCATCTCATAACTGTATCTGAAAATCAATTAGAATCTATCAGTGTCACATGATAATTTAGCCTGTGGAAAAATAGTTCCTCTCAATTTGTTTTATGTGTTTCCCCATTTAGCTATTTAATATAAAATTTAACAGGTATTAGATGTTAAACCTCATAAGTAATGATGAGTATTAGTATCCAGCATTTGATTTAGGGAATCTATTGGTTTATAATAATCAATGATTATCATTGAATATGTACTTCACTTATAAATTTATATATTCGAGTTGGCTTTGCAACCTTTAGCTTGAAATATTTGTAATCCTGGAATGAACAAAGGTGTACTAGAACTTACTTCATGTGCCTCATTGTTGGCAGTTGCTGAAGATGATGCATCATTAGTGAAGCATATTAGCCGGAGCTTTCAATTTTCTGCCATACAGGTGATGCATCATTCCTTTTCATCTATCCTTGTTTCAAATTCCAATTGATGTTCATGCATACATGTTATATTGTATGTTGTTATTTGTGTTTTGTGGGAGACAATTAGTTTGGTTGTTGAAGCATAACGGGTGTTGTGTTTATATGTAGGCAAGGAAGGAGGAGCAACTGAAAGCAGCTCACGATGAGGCCATTTTTGCCACAACATCTTCTCTTTCTGTTAAAGTAGATAGTGAAACGGAGCTAGTGGATTTAATTGAAAGAGCAATAAAGACTAAAATCTAGTGAACACTATTTTTTTAATTGAATGTGAAAGAACATAGACTAAATCCTAGAGAACAATGCCAAACTACATTACATTTAATTTTAATGTTTATACATTTTAAGTTATTTTGTTCTTAAGTATTTTTTGCATAATTTGTGTCTTAATTAAAATGTATGGTTGTTAATTAGATAAAGCTACATGATATAAATTTAGGTGATGTAGAGAGAAATGAAATATGCAAAATCAAAAAATCTTAGCCAAATAAAGGTAATTAGCGGCGTTTGTATCCAAAAACGCCGCTATAGATCTCGACCTTTTGCGGCGTTTGTTCCCAAAATGCCGCTATAGATATGACCTTTTGCGGTGTTTGTTCCAAAAACGACGCTATAGATATGACCTTTTGTGGCGTTTGTTCCAAAAACACCGTTATAGATCTCGACTTTTTGCGGCGTTTATTCCAAAAACGATGCTATAGATATGACCTTCTGCGGCGTTTGTATCCAAAAAAGCTGCTATAGAAACAAACTTTTTACGACGTTTGTTCCAAAAACGCCGCTATAGATCTCGACCTTTTGCGGCGTTTGTTCCAAAAATACCGCTATAGATCTCGACCTTTTGCGGCGTTTGTTCCAAAAATGCCACTATAGATCTCGACCTTTTGCGGCATTTGTTACAAAAACGCCGCTATAGATCTTGACCTATGGCGGCGTTTTTGGTTCTCAAACGCCGCTAACTTTAGCGGCGCTGGTTTTAGCAGTGCTTCTTGCGGCGTTTTTCCTATCGTCGCAAGTGCTTTTAGCGGTGCTTAAAAACACTGCTATAGGATTAAAAAAATGCCGCTAAAACTCTATTTTGCTGTAGTGCACTTAACTTTCTTATCTCTCTTATTTTACCCACTAAACTTTAAAATTTTTCAATTTACTCATTAAACTTTCAGATTGCTACTATTTTGGTCATTCCTTAACATTATAATTATAATTATTATGTTTTAGGATAAATTGTGCGAAATTTTAAAAAATTCTCGACCGCGACACCCGTAGTGATCGCAATAGCATCCACTATGTCCGCAACCGCGATAAATGCGACGCGACCAAAAACTCGATTACAAACCTTATTTACATCCCTGTTGTGACCTAATGATCAAGTGAACAGGTATCAGGAGGCAGGTAGTTGCATGTTGAATTCCTAAGTGTTTTTCCTTCCTTTTTAAAGGAAAACAAAACTAGTGGTTTACCTAAAAGTTTCGAGTTCCATACACACACTGTTCTCACCAACAGTTAGACACATTATAAATGTCAATGATTTCATTATCTTATTGGGAGAGATTTAAATGTTGTTTAAGAAAATTTCAATGATTTCATTATATTTTTCCCCTTTATAGAAATACGTTGGACAAAGTTATATCAGTGTAGTAAATCTAAGGACAAAAAGCGAACTTTGATGGTGCGCCCTTGCTTTCCTTCAGTTTACCGTGAACATCAGATGCCTAATGTCCATATCATCTCGGACACTGTTGTCATAGCCAATGATGTTTGGAAGGTGGGTGATTTGGTAGATTGGTGGACTGACAATTGCTTTTGGACTAGAAGGATAACTGAAAAGTTTGATGACGAAAATGTTAAGGTATTAATTTTTTATTTATGCTTGATGTTTGAATTGAATGGATTTCTCAACATATCTTTCTTTATTTCAAGAGTTATTTGAGGAGACATCTATATTTTGTTTTCTATAATTGTTGGCTCATATTTTATTAGCTGTGGATAATTATAGTTGTTTTAAGATATTTTCTTAAATGTTTGTACAACACTTTTATCCTACTTACTATCTGGCTATTTGCACCTCTTATACACCATATCCAAACATCCTCTTAAGTTTGGATTAGATGGTGAACAATTTTGAATTAATTTTTTGTATATTTAAACCAAAATCATTATTGGATATATATATAGACATTTCTACACACATAAATAAGTAAATTACTCCCTATAGTAAACTAAAACTAAAATAGAATATCTACAAGATAGGAAAATAGAATAAAACTAATTAATTCCATGATTTCCTAATATAAAAGTGGCAACATGGTTTTCTTCAAAGTTTCAAAATCATTCGGTCATTTTTTATAGTTTAGTGGGCAAATCTTACATTAGCAGATTCTTACCATTGCTCAAATAAGGTTAATTCTGTCCATGAAGATTGGTGTCCTCCTTTGTCAGGGTTTTTTAAGGTTAACGTGGATGGTGCTATGGATAGTTTTTGGGAGAAGGGAGACATAGGTGGTTTGCTTCAGGACGAGAAGGGTGTCATGCTGGATTCGTTTTCTGAGAATGTTGGTTCGGGTCCTCCAGTTATGGCAGAACTGTTGGCTATTAAGAGGGGTCTACAACTATTTCTGGATTGAGAGTGGGCATCAAGGGGAAGTCTTATTTTAGAATCTTTTCTATAAAAAAAATGATTTCCTAATATCCGCAAAACTTGAAACTATATCTTATCTTTAAGACTGAATATTCGACCTTCAGTTGGGTTTTACGTACCCAACTTGCAACACAATCTCTCAAGGTTAGGTAGTTAAAGAGTCTTCGTTAGAATATTTGCACACTGCTCTCGAGTTGGACTGTATATCAATTGTATTTTCGAATTCCCTAATTTTGTTTTTTTGCAATAAAGTGTCTATAAATTGTAACATGCTTGGTTTGATCGTGATGAATTGGATCCTTTTGCAATATTGATGGCCGTTTGGTTATCACATTCGAGCAATTGAGCTTTACTATCTTTCCAAATTCCATTCCCAACTCTGCCATTACTCGCATGTTCCAAATTCCTTTACAAATTGTAATTGCAAGTGCTCATAGCTCCTATTCAGCATTGCTTCTGGAAACAACAGATTGATTTACTTAATCGTCACAAGATTTCCCCATACAAAGAAACAATATCACGAGTTGATCTACTATCTATTTAACTTCTTGTCTTGTCTATATGTGAGTGCAACACTATATCTTGGTAGTCAGTCAGTCTAAATAGCAACCCCTTTCTTGGAGTCCACTTCAGATACCTAAAAATTTGGCATATGGCATTTATGTGTACCTCCATTGGTACATTGAGTTTTTTCTTAAAGTCCGTTGAAGTGCTTGTTGGTCTACAATCAAGTATATCATTTTCCTTTAGTAAGTCTAAGATGTATTTGCTTTGTGAAACAAATTTACCTTTTCTTGATCGAGTCAATTCCGCTCTTAGAAAGTATCCAAGGGAGCCAAGATCTTTGACTTCAAATTCTTCAGTTAATGTATGTTTGATCCTTGCTCTCTCTTCCATATCATTTTCAGTTCGAATGATATTCCACGTAGACAATAAATATAGCCAACTTATTTATTGAGGAATGCTTCACAAACATCGTGTGATCAACTTGGCACTAGATAAAATAAAACCATGATCTTTTACTGACTTAGAAAATATACCAAACTATACTCTTGGATATTGTTTTAGTCCTTATAAAGACTTCAATATTTTATACACCTTTCTTCTAAATCTCAGATGGAATCTCCATATAGACCCATTCTTCGAGATTTCCAATTAAAAATGCATTCTTAGTATCTAACTGATGAAGTGATCACTTTAAGTTTGCAGCCAAGGATACAAGAATACAAATAGCTTTAAGTTCTGCAACTGTAGAAAATGTTTCTAGATAATCAACTTAATAGGATTGAGTGAAACCCCTGTCAACTAATAGTGCCATACGCCTCTCAATGCTTCCATCTACTTTTTCCTTCACAGCAAATACCCATTTATAGTTTATTTTCTTCCTTAGTGGAAGATTCATAATAAACCATGATCCATTTTTTTCAATGCACTAATCTCTTCTTGAACTGCTTATTTCCATCCTGGATGACCTGAGCTTCTTGAATATCAGATGGAGTCTGAACTTCATCTATTCATGAGAGAAACGCTCGAAAGGACCTTGGAAAAATTTGCATAAATCTTTAATTGGATGTTGAGTGCATGTTTGTGTACCTATTCATAGGGCAATTAGCAGCTCAAAATCTCCTTCTATTTGAATCTCCTCGTGTTCTTGTTCATTTTTTCCCTCTTGTGTGAGTTTCTACTGTTGTTGGACTTGCCTTAGAACCTTGGACAAGTGTGGGATATGTCGTGTGAATTTTTGTTGTGAACTCCCCTGAATGTCTTTGGGAGAAGTGGATTGTTTTTAAAGAATGTAACATCAGTGGTTTCAAATACACTCTTGAGTAGTGACACAAAAACATTTATACCTTTTTTTTTTGTGGAGTAATCAATAAAGACTTTGTGGATCGAGAAATAAGTTATGCTTCTATTATGTGGGTAGACTTGGACAAAGGTAGAGAATCCAAATACTTCTGGAAACGGATTGTATGATAGGAACCAAGTATGAGGAAAGAGATGCACGAGATTGCTAAGGATTTGTCAAGGTGTTTGAAATTCGTAGACACGAGGTGGTAACCTGTGGATTAGATTTGTTGAAATGATGATAGCTTCCCCTTAGGTATTTTGGTACGTTGGTAGAGAATATAATTGAGTGGGCCATTTCCAACAAATGTCTATTGTATCTCTCTGCTGTCCTGTTTTGTTGCAGAGTATTGACACATGAACTTGGACTATTCTCTGTTTAGATAGGTTTCTCCCAGAGTAAGGTAAAAATATTTATTAGCATTATCAGACAAACCAAATTGAGTTTTGAACCATAGAATTGAAGGCTTGAAATATTCTTTCAACTTTGAAAGGAATTTATTAGTCTTATATGATAATTGATAGGGTAAATTACACATTTAGTATCTAAACTATTAGTTTATTTCGTTTTAGTACCCAAACTTTTATTTGTTTCAAAACCATATCTAACGTTTACTTTTTGTTTCATTTTAATACCCCTCCGTTAAAAACTTAACGGAACTATTGCACGTGGTATTTTTTAATGGGTAAATTACATCATTAATCGCTTAACTATCTTCTCACTCCTATTTTGGTTACTAAAGTTTAAAATTTTTTAATTTAACTACTCAACTTTCAAATTGCTCATGTTTTAATCACTCTAGTTTATTTTATTGATAATTTTTGTGACATGACATTTTTATTATTATTTTATTAATATATAATTAAAATAAAAAATTAAATTTGAAAGTTAAGTAATTAAATTAAAAAAAATATAAACTTTAGTGACCAAAATAAGAGTGAGAAGATAGTTAAGTGATGAATGATGTAATTTACCCATAAAAAAGTGTCATGTTGTAACAGTTTTGATAAGTTTTTAATGGCGAGGTACCAAAATGAAACAAAAACTAAACGTTAGGTATGATTTTGAAACAAATGAAAGTTTAGGTACTAAAAATAAAATAAATGAAAGTTTAGGCACAAAAAAGAAACAAAATTAATAGTTTAGGTACGAAACGTGTAGTTTACCCTAGGTAATAAAACTCACAAATCACCATGTCCTGTTAATGTTTTTTGATTCGTGAAGGTCCCCAAATATAACTATGAACAAGAGAAAAAGGTTTTGATGGTTGGTAAGAAATCCTTGGATAAACGTATCTAGTATGCTTTGCAAAGTGACAAATCTCACAGTTGAAAAGTTTTAGGTTTTTATTGATGAAGAAATAACTTTTCAAGGTACAAGAAATTAGGGTGACCTAACTGGTAGTGGCACATCATGATTTCACTATCCTTATTGAGACTTGCATAAGAGTTAAACTGACTTGAAACAAAAGTAGATGGATTCGTAACAACTACTAGGGCCCATCCATACTCCGGTTGCTAAAGGAGGTATAATTCATGACACCTTTCAACATAGCCAATCTTCGTATTTGAATCCAATTCTTGAAAATCACACTTTTGGAAAGAATGTTGTTAAACAATGGTTATCACAAGTCAATTTACTAATGGAAATCAGATTACAATCAAGATTAAGAACATAACATATTTGAGAATGATTCTTTGTTTATATTTGAACTGTTCCGGTACCGACCACTTTAGATAAAGTGTCATCAACAATTTTTAGTGTGATAATCAAAGGAGAATGTCCCATCTCTTTTCATATGATCCGATGCTCCACAATCAATGATTCACTATTTGAATTGTAGTTTACCTTAGAACGTAAACTCGTACCTTGTGTGGCAGTAGATTGCTTTGTGTAGTTGTTCCTTAGAGAAGAGGCTGGATTCGGTTGTGTACTGTTGTCCCCTATGACATTGGTCGAGTTTGCACGGCTATATTAAGTTGATCTATTTAACTTCCAATCCGTTGGTTTTCAGTGTAGCTTCCAACATGTCTCCTTTGTATTACTAGGTTTAAAAGAATGATCGCACTAAGGTTTCCTTTCTTCCGGCTGACGATTATCTGCTTGAGGCCCTAACCTACTAGTATCAAGTACACATCCATCTATGTTTGGAGGTGGTTATAGGTTGCCTAACACTACCTTCTTATTTTCTTCTCTCTGAACTTTTGAAAACGTCTCTCAAATACTTGAAAGAGGTTCTGTTCTCATATTTTGCCTCTAAAATAATCTAAACTTTTCATATCCTGCCTTCGGACATTTCTACTCATTTTTTTTTATAGAAATAGAAGGTCTCATTAAAAACCTCCCTCTTAGTTGGCTCTTATGA